TTTTGTTTTTTTTTTTTTTTTTTTTTTTTTTTTTTTTTTTTTTTGCAGGTAAATGTACTAGTTGTAGAAATAAGCTGATAACCGAAAGCGACAATGTTTTAAATACAATGTCCATAGTCAATAAAAATAGTTTTCTATTTCTATTAACAAAAATTCGTTTAAAATTGAGGTTGTTTGCCTTTAGCTCCTTCGTACGGGTTTTGCTGCTGCAGGAGTCGGATTACTTCAGCAGCATGCTCTTATATCGCCGCCCTATCTTCAAGATGAGAGTTTATAAGTGCCATCATAAATCAGGCGTCTGTGCAGATACCGGGGTATGAATCGTTCCCCACTGAGTGTGGTTACATATCCTCGAAGCATATAGAGCAAAAGTATTACATAGGCACAGCTTCGATAATATAGTCCATTAGGTATGACTAGAGAATATGTTTAGGATTGAGCAAGCTATTCCACTTGCTAGTGTGAAATATTGGGGTGTACTGAACTCCGGTGTTCCAAAGTAATTACTTTTGGGTCCGTTTACTTCATATTACTCACCAGACTGAATACAGAATACATTTATCTCTCCTGCTACCGCTAAATGCGCTTTTGAGGCTTATAATTAACGTCCTTTGCATGTCGCTCTATATCACCTTCTGTTTATTTTTAGAAAGATTTGTCATTTAATTTTTGAATATGTACATTTCAGGTTCCAAGCAATGCTTTTCATTTCCCATGAGTTGAAGTAAGTGGCGCCTATACTCATATATTTGAGTAGTTTTTTATATTCGACGAGTTGACAGAAAGTTGTTTCTAAGACCATTTTACCTCGATACTAGTTGGCCAAAAACATATCCGTTTAAACTAAGGTTACAATGATTGCTGCATTGGAAAGAAAGCAATGAAAAGAATGACGATCCATATTCGTACAAAATAAATCAATGTTTTCTGACCCTTACCTGTTCACAGATCATAAACCAAGGCAGACCGTCCTGTCACTAACTGTCAAACTTGTAACCCTGTAGGGATCTGGCTCATTCCAGAAAAGCAAACGCCTGGCGGATTACGTACCTTAACGTATCGATAATTAAGCCACAGACGATAAAGGAAAGCGCTGGCTAAGTTTACAGTTGGGCTCTTCTTTCCAAGCCGACGCTGGAGCATGACAGGTTGCAATACTTGTTACCGTGCCACCTAGCGGTACAACACAAATATCACGATGTGATAGATACAATACGAGGCGCCGAGCTGCACGTGGTTTAAATGTTCGGTATAAAAATCGTACATATGACCAAATGGACAAGGTGAGGTGAATCCATTTCACTGAAGGAGGTATCGGATGTAGCAATTCCATTCCTTCCATGTGAAAAATGTCAGTTTGGGCGAGTCCATTGCAACTAAGGGGTGTCATATTGTGCAAGTTCATTCCATCAGAGATGGAAATTTGGAGGAGACTCTATTCTATTCAAGGCGGTGTCATTTGGGGCAAACCCACACCGCTGGAGGCATGTTAGGTTGGGTGAGTCAATTCCATAGTGAGGGTGTGAGGTAAGACCATCCATTCCATTCGAGGAGTGTCAGGTGAGACGAGTTCATTCCATTCAAGAAGTGTCAGGAGGGAATACTGTATTTCAATACAGGGGGTTGCAGGTGGGATGAGTCCATTCCATTCAAGGGGGGTCAATCCTATTATTGTAACAAAACATTTAAAATGACTTTCATTTTAAGCAGTTTCGACCATTGTACAGTTAAGGACAACCAAGTCCGACTTTAAAGACGTCGTTATTTGTTGTATTATCAAAAACTTGTTCTAAGAAGTTATTGACAATTCAAATACAAATTGTGCACAAAGAATCTTTGAGAGAGGTACGATTATTAGGGACTACTAGGAGCAAAGATTTCTAACTGAAACAAAAGTTTGAGAGTATATCTTATTTTTAAAGACGTTTTTAAACCATTCTCTCGTTATGTAACCAATCAAACAGGGAAGATTCAAGCAAGCAGGATTAGGCTGTGATTAATTACAGTATGATAATAAAGAAAACGCGTTTACATAAGACATGTACATGTAAGTGACAATAATGCACATAACGCGGGTATGTCATGTTTAAAATATTGCATCTAGCGGTACTTGCCTTCACATACAGTACCAGTATATAAGCAATTGTTACCGTCGGTCTGCCTGTTTGGTTACTGTGCTGCTATACCCTGGGTTGATACATTGGCAGACATACACGTAAGTGGCATTGCATGAAAAGGTGAGGGTGATTATGTCCAACTTATCTCATTATTGAGCCGTGAGGATTTACATGTACGTTTGATACAACCGTAGATCTGCATCATGAGAGACCCACTTTCTCAATCTTTCTTCGTTTACCTGGCCAAGAACACAAATGAAACATTCCCTATATTAGCCATTTCAAACTCAAAGTGACTCCTAAAGAAATCCTACAAGACTCTTCGGGAATCTAAAGGTATGCTATCGGTCTCCTATGGGGTTCCTAACTAGGGTGTATCATGAGTCTTTGTCCTAAGGGCCTATATCTTATGGGTACTAAAGGACACTTTAGGACGGCCTAAAGGACCCTGTTGATGATTGGGCCAGTGTCCATTCCATTCCATTACATGACCCAATATGAGATTCCCGTAGGGGATGTACATAGACTGTTCCCGGTACATTGTGCCTTTGGAAAATGTGTATACATAATGTATATATCTGTAGTAATGCGGGGATGGGTATAGGTGTATAACACAAGTTTCCAGATATGTTTATAAAAGACTAACTTTAAATATTTACCAAAATATGTGTTGAAAAATTGCATTTGCTATGCAGTTTTATCGAAGCACAATTAATATCAAATGGCTTGAGAAACAAACTGGCCAGTGAAATCTCTTTATGTTACAAGCAGACTTAATCAGAATATTGGGCTGTGTTAGATGTGAAAAAACACGCACACAAACACTCACACACACACCTGGACTTAAATTATACCTACATTCTCTTTACATTTTCTTTGCATTTCTTCTCAAAACCAACTATATATGTTAAACAATGCTCAGCGATTTACATATCTTCACTAAATCTTGCAGAATTCCCCGAAAATGACAACGCCAAAACCAACCATGATGCAAGGCGAAAAATAATTTTCCATACGTATATTGAATGAGGATCCGAACGAGTGCAAACTTGTATGGAAAATGGTAGTTCGTAATATAAGCAACAGCATAATTTGGGGAATTACACTGAAAGGAATACGGCATCCCCTGTTGAACGTTGGGACCTTGATAGTTTTCGCAGTTATTTGCCAATTTCTAGATAATATTGTCGTGTCTGGAACAGTCACCACAGGAGCTTTATTCTGCGTAAGTTATGTGAACGCCTACTACGGGTTAAACTGGAGACTATTTAATGAGAAATCATGTCCAGATTCAAGTCACAAAATGTACGCGTACTACAACAGCGGGCAAAGGGGACGCCGTTTTTGGGTTGCCGAGCACGACGGGGTCATCATAGGTGCCACAGGTATCCAAGAGCAACAGATGGCGCCGGTGGATAAATCTGGAGAGAGGAGGGGCACTGTGGCAGTGCTGAAAAGGATGGCCGTGGAGTCAGCGTATAGAAGAATGGGTGTGGCCAAAGCCCTGCTGGACACCGCCATCGAGTTTGCCAAGGAGCAATGCTACGATGTGATGGTTTTATATACAATTGAGGTACAGTTTGAAGCTACGTGCTTTTACTTGAAGCATGGGTTTGAGAAAAAAGGAGTAACCCCGTGCGATACGGTGTTTCCCCTTCTCAGCTTCGATTTACTCAATTTGAGACTAGATCTGAACAAAATTGCACAATGACGGGTTCGATTATCATCGTCATTTTTACGCTTATATCAGGTAAGATGGTTGCAACATGTACGGAAGCGGATCCAGGATTATTTGAAGGGGGTTCCGCAGATGCGAAGCCGACCGACTCTTTTTATTGTGAGGGAGATATATATTGCTTAAATAATTTTTCTGCGTTCAAACATTTTGAGAAACATTTACACCAACCGATGTTCGACATATTTTACGTATCCACAAATTATATCCCGTTTCGCTGGAAAGCCTCTAATTTAGAAAACGATGCACGTCTGACAGGTTCACACCGCTCTCTGTGAAAATTGCCATATGGCCACAAAACTAATCTTAATACATGTATATACAGAATTCATTTATAATGGGTGGCAATTGTACACCCGTCGAGGTTAACAGAATATAAAATATCATCATGGCACCTGTAAGCCTATGTGCTGCCTGCAATTACCACCACTACCCAATGTGGTTGTTTTCATCGACACTGGTGAAGCAAGGAAAAACAATGTACAACAGATAAAAACACACATCCGTTTACAAAATCTGTACAGACTTAAATAGAGTCATAGGGGGAGATTGTCTAACCCCGTCTTGCATTCGGTATGTCGTTTTCAGAGTCGCATGTACCGTGGGTGAAAGTTCGTATATTCTTTCTCAACGAAGTGAAACGCCGCCTAGGATAAGGTCCATAATATGGGAAGGCACCAACCAACTGATGAAAACATACACCTGAAAAAAGAAGAAAATACAGAGAAAACGAAAACCAGAACTCAACGTCAAATAATTTCATCGTGCACACATTTGTTTGTCAGAAAAAAAATATACAGTTTATATTACGTGTTTACTAAAGCTAGATCATGAATTTCTCTGACAGTTATCGGGGATTCTTTGAGTTTTATTTTAATCAAAACATGCCGGCTATAATACTTACTGTTTACATCTTACTCAATTCATAGTGGACAAATCATAGCTTCTCTAAATTAAATAATTACATAACTTACTTTTTCTATGTCCATAAGATTATCAGTTCCACCGATAAGATAGCGGCAACACGGCCGCCTTGAGAATAATCCGTCCAAGACAGCCTCGTTGATGGGTGCCGTGCCAATGACATCAGGGCGATCTTTGCCCTTCTTAAAATTCCCCAGAAACTGCTCTACGTACACCTCCTTCGGATACACGGATTTTAACTCTTCCCCCAATGCGTCCCATTCAGCTCGCAGGGGAACTTCCAATTTCTCGGGCTGGAAAAAGTTCAAATGTAAAGGAATACATCCAAATCCTAACGGTGGCATGTGAGAGCGCAATAAAATAATAAAGCGATATATACTGATGCTTTCAGTTCTTGTCCTCCATACCAATAGTCAGAATTTTGCCTGGCAAAGTTTACATATGATTTAACTATTTACTATTTAAAAAGCTAAATCAAGCATGAACTCTTCATTCTTCATTTCAAAGTCAGAAATAACGCACTTTGTGCCATGTCAGTTGTAATTTCGCTTGAAATACATATCATAAACTGTTTATATTTATGGGGGTAAAAACCATCTCCATATTAGCTGTTGACTGAAGAAAAATTACATCATATCTTATTTTTATTTAATTTTGAATGTAAAAATTAAACGTGGTAGGACCTCCGATGAACTGGTTGTGGCAATAAATAACGTGATTTTAATGCAATCATGTTTTATATTGGAAGTTACTGTCAGTGTACTATTTATAGCCGTTTTAAGGACGCTTTTGTTTTCACAATCACGGTTTATGACATTAGGCGATGAAGAGCCGAACGCGTCAAAGTGAAATTAATCATAATCTAAAAATATAAAACGCAAACTTTCCGATATTCGTTTAGTGTATAAGCACAAATTACAAACCAAATTGGTTCTTACTGTGAGCATAAATATACGATTTATACTGGGTATATCAAAATTTAGACAAATTTATGATTTAAGGGCCCGTTTTTTGAGTTCTGAATTTCTTATATTCATCGTTGCAAGTGAAATTTTCCAGTTCCCTATTCCATTTTGAAAAAATATTTGCGATATTAAAATATCAATCTTGTAGTGTGTTTTTTAATATAAAATGATCAAGACTGACCGCAGCTCCCTTGGTCCTGAACCCTCCAGGCTCGACCACGCTCACATGGACGCCAAAATGGGTCATTTCGCGCCGCAAGCTGTCCGAGAAAGCCTCGAGGGCAAACTTGGACATACAGTACCCAGAATTTGCCTTTTGAGACACCTGTCCCCGAACGCTGGAAATGTTCACGATGCGACCTTGAAGAGATAAAGGCATAATGTTATAGTCATATCCATGAATCCAAAGCATGAACCAAGTATTGCATTTTACAACAAAGACTTTAATCAGATATCTGATGGAGTCAAATGTACATTAGACGTTTTTTTTTTTTTTAGTAATAAAAATAAACTCACAATATTATCTCTCTCCTTGTAGTGCATTGTTTGTTTAGATGTTATTTGAAAAAAAAAACATTTTTGCAGCTGTAAAATAAATATGCTTAATTGTTTTAAAAATTGGTTTGATTGACTTTTAACAGATCATCTTAGGCACTGTTATTTCAAGACCTTGCAGTTCATCTAGGTGATTTAATTCAACTAGTACATGTAGTTGTCAGCTGATTCTTCAACTATATCAGGATGTGAAGAAACATTTAAAATTTCACACGTGTTCTTACCTCGAGAGGAACGGAGCATTGGAAGGAACTTCTTACAAACGCGGACAACTCCATATGTGTTAATATCCATTGTTCTTTGCATCCACTCCATAGAAACTACCTCAACCGTTCCCCAGCAGCCGACGCCAGCGTTATTAACCACTCCCCATAACTCTGAAACAAGCATTTTATGTGATTTGATGTTTTACGAGTGTTGATTTGGAGTCGTGTAGAAGTGACAAATGTTTGTCCGATACTTATATATACACTGTAGTCCTGAACATTGAAATAAAACTAAGTTCACATTTTCACCTTGATGTGTCTGGTTAAGCGATGCATAGGTCCGTACATACATGTAAGTCATCTAATTTGTTATACTAAAAGGATAAATGCAGGAAGATGTACCTTTGTAATTCTTTTTAATGATGCAATAAACTCCATGTATTTGCTCATCGTTGGTCACATCTAGCTGCACCACGTGTAAGTTTGACGAACACGTGGTTCGGAGCGTTTCAGCTCCTTCCCCAGCGCTGTCCAGGCACCCTGCGAACACAATGGCGCCAAGACTGTCCAGAAACTTGGCCATTTCATGACCTAGTCCTATAATTATTATAAACAAACGTCAAAATCCAATTGTTACTTTATATGCATAGTGGCCAGCCCAATACGTTCATGCGTTACTTCTTTCTATTTCATGTTATTATCATTATTTATCTTAAAATTATTATTATTATTTTTTTTTTATTATTTATGTCTTGCTTGCTAATCACACACTCAATCATAATCAAGGGCACTAAAGACTTTATTTCGATGCCTCTTTGGTCACTTTGTTCCTGTAAAGCATAAACAAAAGCGGAGCTGGTGTGACAGGAATGGCAGTCCTAGGAATGCAAACCGGGACCCATATGATTTACAATTTTTAAAGCAAGTAAGGGTAAGACGGAGTATTGGGATTAGAATATTGGACGAATGTCTGCTGTACAAAATAATGGGGAACAGACGACGGTTCCTGGCGGACCACCATTCATGTCACACTGAGATGGGTATCCGAAAAGCCTGTAGTCCCCTTAAGCTTTCCATTTTATTTGTCCTTAATAACGGGTCGTATTATTTTATTCCACATACCAATATACTCCATTAAAAAAAACAAAAAGGCAAAAGGGTAATATTGGTACGTAAGACTATGCTCAGCACAGTTTCGAAGCAATATCTGTTTTCTTTCGGCATCTTGAAAGACAAAGTTATCATAAAAAATCAAGATGCTGTTCTGAATACTTGGCTGAAGGAATGTACATTTATTGGGAGGGAAGCACCTGTCAATGAGCCCAAGTTGATAAGCGCAGAATTAAGCCTCGGTCACAACCGGACGCACGAATTTCAGGATCGTACGTCCCCTGCGATTTTGGGTGTTGCGGAGACCGTGGAGGTCGTAGAGGTAGAAGAAAGCCTGCCTTGCGAGTCGCAAGAGCCACATGAGATTTCCTTTCAAGCAGAGACGCTAATTGCAAGAAGCGATGGCCGTGGAAATTGTACTCATTTCTTGAGTTTGTCTTGCGTGGGACGTGAGATTCTGCGCAAAATTTGGACGCAAATAGCCCGTAAGAGCCCGAACTGCCGGTTGTGACCGAGGCTTAAAGGTTATGCTTGATTACAGCTTGATAAGAAAGTCAAACAAGTCTATACTCGTGGAGGTGGCCTACAAGCTAAGAATTTAGACGCCATATTAAAAACATCCATAAAGCCGGTACTTGCATTTATATATCTGTGAAACTATACCATCAATTCCCTCAAAATCGTGGGCATTAAAATGAATAGGTCAATGTCGGTAAAAATCAAACTCTGAAAATGTACCACATTATTTGTTTAAAAATTCAATATCTGTGTACTTTAATAAGCACAGATGCCATTTTGCCAAAAGCTTCAGATAAAAATATAATTAAAATCGTTCTTAAAGTAACGCTGAACTATGCTATGTGTCGAGGGCTTCTATCAATCACTTGGCCCTTTTCTCCATAATACCTGTGTCACAGCCCGTGACCAAGACAACTCGTCCTGCAACTGGCATTCGATCCCTTTGTCTCAGGTATTCAGAGCACACCCGCAAGAAGATGCAGTAGTATCGAAGTAGCAAAGAGGCATTAACGCAGTAGTGGTGTGGAGCATATTTGCAGTAGAAATGCAGCATAGCCTACTGCTATTCTACTTCAAAAATTACATAGGGTTGTACAGAGGAGGAGCATTAATGCAGTAGATTAGCAGCATGATAGAAGCATGTTTCAAATATGCTAATTAGCTCCCCAATCGAAGCAGATTTGAAGCATGTTTGCAGTATGATTGCAGTAGTCTACTGCGCTGGAGTATCTACTTCGTTATCGTGAGGGCAGAAGGTATACTCCCCACAACGTTAATCCCGTCGAAGTAGTCAGCGGAAGCCAGGGGACGTAGATCATTAATAGGGTTAAAGTTGCCCCGACTGTGAAGAAGATAAACCCCACAGCTATTGCAGACACCCAGAGCATTTTCTGATGTTTGCTTGATATTTCTGACGAAGTGAAGACCACGAATGTGTCTCACTGTGCCAAAGCTGCCTGAAATGACGTAACTGGGACGTGTCGTGAGCAGTCCGTCAAATTTAGACTGTTCTATACCGCCTGTGAAAGAAACACTACTTGCGTGAAAGAAATATTAAATTGAAATATGTTACTCTGGTGTTTTACGGGGTTTGTTAATGATGAAACAGAAGTACGTTTTCTGGGGAAAACAAAATGAGGATAATCCAGGCACAATCGCACAACAGGTACGCTCGTGACAAAAATATCTTTCTTGACACCTGGATCTCTCTTACATCAGTCATTAAATTGACAAGTAGGTCACAACTGCAGATTTAGATATTTTGAATAGATGTTTCTATGCTCTATATATCTGAAAGACCTATGTCAAGGAGAGAATGATGGACGTGAAATACTGAAAAGGGGTTAGATTGCACTGCCATTAAACTAGATCCCACTATACGGTACAGTAGGCCTACATGTAACCCTACCCTGCAGTAGAATTTATAGCCACCATATCAGGATGCTGATTCAACAACATAAAAGTTTAAACTGAACAACCATAGGCCTATTGAATGCATAAGAGCATTCAATATAAAACACTGTGTAAAATCCAGGTACTCTATGTTAAAAGTAGGTTAAATACAATATTGCACTTGCTATTTGTTTAACATGAAAAACAAGACGTGATTCAGACGGAAGACACTACAGGTATAGGCCTTAGTACATGTAGGCCTACGTGGATTATAAGACTACTGGTATAAGAATCACTATAAAAATAGTATAATAAAAGAAGTAGACTAAATTCACGGCACCTACCTATTGTACCTGATTTTTTTCACAGTGAGATCAGACTGAAAAGAGAAGTCAACTTCATTAATTAACATATAATTGCGCTTTGTAAATTAAAATCACGTAGTACCTATTTACAGTGTAATATGCATACGGTATAGTATGACCTTATACTTTAAAAACCTTGCAGTTAGCACGTTTGAACAGTGGCGCCCCCTCTCTTCAAGAGGCTCCTAGATCACAGTCCCCAAGATACCCTAGATACGCCAGGGCACAAAAGATAACATTCCTTAGTTGGCCATATTGACAGATATTAGTAACAACGGTGGCATTATGAAAAGGTGAGGATAGTCACATGTACAGAGTTCATTTTCATTATTTTGAAGCCCCCAGTGTTTAAACGTGTGTTTTGGTAGGCCTATAGCCCTATACTCCCGCCCCCAGTACAAGTAGATGCCATTTCGCCTCTTATCATGTTAAAGTACATCGTAGAAATATGCAATGTACCCGGTGTGCCGGGGAAATTTGATAACACGTATACGTACATGTATACACCTGTCCCAATGCAGGGATAGATGTATGTCATACAATTTTAGCCACAAACAATAGGCATCAGACTCCGAAAATGCACCACAATATTTTGTTACAAGGCAAGCTTTATCGGCATACGGGTCTGTAGTAGATCTGACAGCCTACATGACCCCCCCCCCCCCCCAACCACTTCTACTTCCACTCTGTTAAACGTCATATCCTCACAAAAATAAAAGAATGCGACCTTCACATCCTGATTTCATTTTATCTATTTTTATTAATTTTATTTTCTTATTAATTTGTTTGTTCATTATTTTGACATCTTGCAGAATTTACCGTACGGACATGACAACGCCAAAGCCATCCACGACGCAAGGCGAAAATCGATTTTCTATACGTCTTTTAAAAGAGGACCCGACTGAAAGCGATCTAGTATGGAGCATGGTAGTCCGCAACATAAGCAACAGCATGATTTTAGGAATTACACTTAAAGGAATACGACATCCCCTGTTGAGCGTAGGGACCTTGATGGTTTTCGCCGTTGTTTACCAATATCTAGGTAACATTGTGGTATCCGGAGCAGTCGCCACTGGAGGCTTAGTGTGCATAAGTTATGCAAACGCTTATTACGGGTTAAAGTACAGACTGTTTAACAGTAAATCATCCCCCGATGGAAGTCACAAAATGTACGCGCACTACAATAGCGGGCAAAGGGGGCGTCGTTATTGGGTCGCCGAGCATGACGGGGTCATCATTGGTGGCGTAGGTATCCAAGAGCAACAGAAGTCAACAACGAGAAAAAGTGGAGAGCGGAGAACCACTGTGGCAGAGTTGAAAAGGATGGCCGTGGAGCCGGAATATAGAAGAATGGCTGTAGCCAAAGCCCTGTTGGACACTGCCATCGAGTTTGCCAAGCAGCAAGGCTACGATGTGATTATATTGGATACATCTGAGATCCAGCGGGAAGCTATGCGCTTTTACTTGAAGTGTGGATTTGAGGAAATCGGTGTTACCCGGTGTGATACGGTGTTTCCCCTTTTCAGCTACAATTTACACAATTTCAGACGACGTCCTAACAAAAAGGCATAGGTACAGGTACAATTATTTTTGTCAACTGTTGAACGCTGATCTTGCATGAGATTATTGCTATATGCTGACAAACACCCTTAAGTTATATGCCTACCATAGGTTTATATGGTCTGTTATTGATATTATTTTTGGGTAAAATTAAACAATGACTTATGGTAATTCTCTTAGTTACACTACTTGAAACTGTATGCTGGCATTTGGTTTGCTTTTGTGGCTAAAAATTGACTTCAGATGCATCTTTAAGATATGGAGTGATCAAATCAATTGAAGAAATTATATAAACCCGGTCCTGAATTTGATGGCCTCCCCTGGTACACTAAAGTAAAGGGTACACCAACAAGGGGGCGGGGGCGATTGTCCTAACCCCTCTCCCTCCTCCCAACCAGAAGGCGCTGGGCACTTTGGGTGCAGATAATACCCTGACACCGAAAGTGACACCAAGATGGAGTTCACAATAAAGATTAAGAGCAGAGATAATGTTAAGAAATTGAGCCCACATTTAATTTTGTTGATTTCAGACTAAGCAGCATGTTAAGGATTAAGCGCAGAGATAAATGTTGAATAACCAATATGTGGTGACTTCCAACACTTCCCTCAGTGTAACAGCTGGGTGCATATATACCCTGACACCGAAAGTGACACCAAAATGGAGTTAGTCTAAATTTGATGATTTCAGACTTCTGTTCACAATAAAGATTAAGCGCAGAGATAATGTTAAGAAATTGAGCTCCTATTTAATTTTGACGATTTCAGACCTAACAGCATGTTAAGGATTAAGCGCAGAGAAAAATACTGAATAACCAATATATGGCGACTTCCATCACTTCCCTCGGTGTAACAGCTGGCGCCGTCACAGTATTGGTTAGTGTATGCAGCGGTATCAGTAGTTTATTGGGACAATTAACCGCTATGTTTACCGGTGTAACGAAACTGAGGGTCCGTGTAACAGAAAGCCCGCACTCCATATAGTTATAATGGTTAGAGTTAGCCTGACCTAAATGGGTCGAAATATAGGGCAAGGCTTAATTACCTGTACAAATGATTCATGTTACACTGGTGACCAGTGGTGACAGCTGACCAGTGATGAAGAATCTGCATGCATGAATTTATTTGTATGACTGTGCGAAAAAACATTTTTTCTGTACTTTAGTTTATTCCATTTATTAGATTATACCAAGAAACAGGCATTAAATTGTGACATTATTTGTGATTGTTTGTATGTTTTGTTTCATGTCATCAACAATTTGTACGAACGGGCTGCTTAAGTCATAATGTCATAATGCTTAAGTCATAAAAGTATATAGCCGCTCGGTGGAAATTCTCTCAAGAAACGATGCATCTTTAGACTTAAATAACTAGATATTTTCTTTGGGTAACCATCACATACCCTTGCGGTTCTTCATTCCCTCAAGAGATGTGACCCCCCCCCCCTACCCCCGCCGCACGAAAATGCAGTAGTATCGAAGTAGCAAAAAAAGCATTAAGGCAGTAGTGGTGTGGAGCATATTTGCAGTAGAAATGCTGCATAGCCTACTGCAATTCTACACCAAAAAGTACATAGGTTTGTACAGAGAGGAGAATTAATGCAGTAGATTAGCAGCATGATAGAAGCATGTTTCAAATATGCTAATTAGCTCCCAAATCGAAGCAGATTTGAAGCATGTTTGCGGTATGATTGCAGTAGTCTATTCTGCTAGAGTATCTACTGCGTTTTTTTGCGGGAATTAATCATTTGTAATGAAATTTAGGGATCGTCTTATCTTGTCCGTGTACGCCATTGTGCTCATAATTTCCCAATTTCTTCATAGACAGTAAGAGTGACAAACTTGAAGGGGGGTTGAATAATAATACGCTGTATAAAGTATTGAAAGAGGTAAAGTAAGCTTGTTAATTAATCTGATTAAGAAGTAAAGTTCAAGGATTACTTCTCTTGGTTTGATGTTACAGGATGCTACATGTAAAACAGAAGAGTTATTAGCAAACTTCATTAATGAAATTTTGGTACAATGGGTTGATAAGTTAAAGCTTTTAGGTATCTACCGGCGGTACATGAACATTAATTACAGTGCCACGTCTATCCTGCCCGACTGAAAAACAACAATATACCTGGTATTTGAGTTTATTTGTCTCATATCATTTCAGCAGTCTGGGGCTATCAGACTTTTAAACAGTTCTAGACCCGTTGCTGCTGCACATGCGTGGACGTCTTGTCTGTTGCTTGTGATATACGTGCATTTGTTACCTATGGCTTGCACATTACATGACAGTGCATTTAACATCGTAGTCCAAATTATATTTTTCATTCATTGCACTGTGGACTTCCGAGTAGTTAAAGCCAGTGCCGAGTGCCTTAAATGATCGAAACTTCTTTGTTAACCAAACGAGCACATGCAATGTCTGTATTATGTCAATCTTGATTAGAAACCAGCCTTAAAACAAAAAAGGGAGACAAATGCTCCGTATGGATTAACAAAAATATTTGTTACTTATTTTTTGCACATTATATGCGTGACAGTGCATTAAACACTGTAGTTCAATTGTTGTTGTGCTGCAGTTTAAAAATAGGTAAACCATGTTAATGTACAATCCCCATTAAGATAAATCCAGTTACCTTCAATGAGACCTTTTGATTAACAAAGGAGCAGAATGTCTGTATTATATCATTCTTGAGTAGATAACAGCCTTTTAACATAAAAGAAAAGCAGAAATGCTTCGTGTGGATAAAGAAAAACGGACGCTTTGTTATATTTCTGTCAAACAAATTTTGACGAATGATGTTTTCTTTCTTATTTGTATCTGCAAAGAACTTCTCCATACGTAGACATTTCGTGACTTTCTTTGGTAACGGTATCCCATGAGATGACGTTTCCTCCAAGATTTTCGCCACAATTTGCCATTGCTGTGACGTTAACATTGTTGGTGTTCCAGACATTGACGCTTGTGATGTCACCAACATATGCTTGATAAACATCAAATCCCCCGCCTACACTGTCTTGGTCTTGCCCAACAATCCATGTTCCATCTTTAAATAAAATTAGTTATTTCAACCTACCTTTACCTATTCGTGTATAAAGCTTATAAATAAACATGGCGCTTGTGCACAATGTATGTCACAACAAATTTGGCAACGATCCAAATTTTCATCGAATGTACTACTAATTCATAATAGTGTCAAATCTACCAACGTGACCTCCGAAACTATAATGAAAGAATTGTCAAGATTGATATTGACTTTGTGAGAAATGATTGGTAATTTCTTACTTGGCGGTATGCTCCTAGACGTCTGGAAACCAGTGCCCCTGGCTGCTGGCATGCCATCTCTGAATACTGACCACGCTCCAACGCCATTGTTCCAAGCGAAACACCAATGGTGCCAGGCTCCATCACTCATTTCAGAACTCGGAATTGATGTTGTGATTCGCTGTCTAAATATATAGAAAAAGATGTTTCCATTCCCTTCGTACCCAGTGAGGAACGCATTGTGGCTGCCACTCACGGCGTAAGACAGGTGATGTATAAGGTGCGATGCAGCAAAGGTTGTCTTGGCCCACAGACAGGCTGTAATGGCAGTCATCTCAGGTGTGGTGGTAGTCAACTTCACGTATCGCTCTGTGGACTGCGGAAATGGCCAACGGAAGATCGTAGTTTTATCTGAAAGTAAGAGAGGTACGTGTGTCTTACACATTGTGGGACCGTTTTCCAGAAAAGTCTTTTGTTTTGTTTTGTATATGAATTTTAGAGCAGCTTTACAAGCCGGTGTAACGAAATTTGACTGGTTTGCTTAAATACTGAAAGAGACCAAATGTCAGTATTTTCAGAGTAAAGTGAGAAAAAAGATCAAATTGAAAAAGAACATAATCGCCACCAAAAACACATCAGAAGAGCACTGTCTTAACACACATTCACATTAAAAACACTTTATGCCAAGCATCAGTAAAATGTCTCATGTCAGCAAGAAACTGGTTGCAAATTTTCCCTAGTAGTATGACCACCATTTGCATGAATCACCGCAATACACCTTCTGCACATGCTCTGAAGAAAGCGGGGTAACTGTTGTTGGGTAATCTGGTCTCACTCTTCCACCAAAGCATCCTAGAGTTACCGAATCGTTATGCGAGCGTTCTGTCGAGCTCGAATGCGGTTCAATGTTCAATGGGATTGAGGTCTGGTGACCTTGCAGGTCATTCCATACGAGTAATACCTTACTGCTCCAAGTAAGCGTTCACAACATTGGCTCGATGGGGTAACATTATCCTTCATTAGGATGAAGGTGTCCTTAACAGCGCATGCATAGGGACGGACTATAGGGAAAACTATCTCATTTCGATACATGAAACCAGTGAGAGTCCCATTCCGGATCACGTGAAGGTCAATAAGCCCATGCACTGAAATTTTACCCCATACCAGAACTGATGGTCCAACAAACTGATCATGCTCGAAGGTGTTTGGCTGACTGTTGTACTCCCCAGGTCGTCTTCACACCTCCTGCTTCGATCCAGAAAGTGTAAGCAAAACATGGACTCATGATGCCGGCGTGCTTGGAGGGTAAAGTAGCAGTCTTGCTGATGAGGTGTTGTCGGTCTCGGGCGACCGCCAACAGGACGCCGGTTCACCTGCCCATGCCTCCGGTACCTTGTCCAGGCTCTGGATATCACGCCTTAGTATGTGCCGAGGGGAGTGGGTACATGACACTGCGTATTGTTACCCTGGAGTACCCCGATAGCCCGATTAGTTTTGCTGGTGGTAAGTGATTTCTCTGTCTTCTTGGAGGCATTACAACATTGACAATTAAAAGCTCATCAGGAGAAAAAAGCTCACCCTTATTTGAGCTGAGGGACCAGCTTGGGTGTTTTTACTCGTGTGCATTCAACCAAAACAACAACAACAACAACATCAATGACTAATACGTACAGGTATGGTACAGGTATGGTTGTGCAACTTTATGTCGGAGACCAAGAAAATATACATAGGTAAAATTATCATTCCATAAGAATAAGATTTCTGGCAAATGTTGACTGGTGTAGTTAGGGTTAGCCTGACCTCAGTGTGTCAAAATTTAGGGCGAGGCATACCTGTAGAAAGAAAGTGGGGGCGGACTCTTTATCATGGGGGACTCTGTCACGTTATATAAGTCGGTGAGACAGCATAGAATCAACTTATGACTGTTTACTAAATGCTTTTTTTATCTACAATGAAAATATCCTATCACCATGCATGAGTGTAAAATAAATCCAAAGAAAAACACACCGTGGCCCAGGTAAAAGATTTATGATTATGTAGTAATAGAAAAAACCTTTAGACATGGGCGTCTTTGGGAGTATTCACATCGAGAAGAACCGAGGTCTAGCAAGACCGGGACCTAAATATGGTGGACCTTCATGAAAGGAAGACCGCGTAATCCATTAATGGTCACTCAATGACAATGGTTTTGTTGAAGAAAGAACCAGAAAATCAAAAATTATGTGTGTAAAAATTGTGTACTGACACCAAACTCGCGTCCCACAGCATGCATGTCATGTCTCTGTTATTTATCACGATATCTTAAAAATTCTGACGAACTAATCACACAAAAAATACTGCAGAAGTAATAAGCTTGTTAGCCTATACAGTATGTTATCTTATTATAATGTTTCAAGATGACAACTTCATGCGTTATATATGGTCAGCTATTCTTTGATTGGCTATTGCTCATCTCTCTTAAATTGCATGGCTTTAACATATTTTTTCTTTTATTATCAACTTCCTTTTAATAAGGACGAATGACCTTGCTGGAAATCGTCACGCCCCCACCCTTATTCAACCTATTTCAGTTATACTTCCAAGACTTAATTCAATAAAGTATATATTTTAACATAAAAAACACAAAACCGTCACTTTGTTTCTTAATAAAAAAACAAATGTGCATCTTGTTTATCCGATTCAAAATATAAACGAATATTCTGACACTTTTTGTTAAGAGTGGCGATCTTGCTCTACTACTCAAATGTACATTTCTTCTAAGGGTCTCGTACCTGTTAGTCAATGACACCTGCTGAAAAGCACAGTGATTTATCAGGTGTGCATCTAATATCCACGGGCGAATAATTATCAAAACCCAGTGGTTTTGAAATACGGGCCGCTGGCTCAAACAGGCGTCGTCATAGTTACAAATCCTGTTTAGGTATACAATTGCGCAAAAACTGTATGGCAGATGCATGCAAAATAGCAATATATCATTTTTGAAAGCAAAGTTTTCCCAACACCCTATCAAATTATGTCCGCCTTCGTGGTGGGTATTTGACACACACCCTTTCTCCATCTTAAATCATGTTGTTCACATGGCTCCTGAGATCAGGGATGTTTGCATTGCTGATAATTCGTGGCATCTAGCTCATGGACTTCTATGCCATTCAAATTAATACCACATAAAAAAGCAGTATAGTACTTCATACCTGTTGGAGGAACGAGGAACTGACAGCCGGCGTCTGCCACTACATCCACCATGTCTTTATTCGCATTATTCGCAATTGCCTCGTATATGGAACAAGTTTGCGCCTCCATGCAAAACTGAGCGGCGTACCCACCCAACGTCTGTATCCTTAACGAGCAGTCCTCGGCAGAGTTGGCCCTAAAGCTCCCTAAGCTGTTGACGCGGAGAGGTAGAGATTGTTCTGGCATAGACAGATAGCCTTGGACGACGTATCTTGCTGTCCGTATGGTCTGACTGGTCGCAACTCCAATCAGAAATCCCCAAATGATAACTAAAATGCAAGACAATGTGTCCGCTGTTCATTCTTTTCCATGCATTCTTGTATTCATTGCAATTGGATATTTTTTAACAAAATGCCCGGAGGCATCCATAACGCCAAATTGAACGCTTCTTAGATATGTCAATGCTATTGCTATATTTGGTTATAGTAACAAACCACCCGGAACTTTTACGAATTTCGATTATCAACTAAAACTTGATGTGGATGCCTCATATTTGATACCAGAAATATCATCCCAAAAGCAAAGGTAACAAGCGGGTGTATTTTTTAACAATGAAGTGTTTTTAAATATGACATGTAGCTTAACTCTAAGTTTTTTATCAGTCATGATTGACGAATTTTACTGCCATTTCGGTTGATGGATCGAGCTCTAAACAGAAAGTTCAAAGCGCCGCTTAAAACAAGACGATGTTATTTTTTAAGTCTAATAGACTGAATAATTTAACGTAATTTTGTCTTCCTTTAAGCTAAGATCTTTTTAAATGTCAATTATGCCCATTTCCATCTAGTAATAAAACAAACCTCTTACTGTGAGCAAACATCTTACCCCAAAACATAGTTGATCAAAGACCGCAAAATCCTCTAGGAGAACGAAAAACACTTAAGAGGGCTAACACATATAAACCTTAATTTGTCGACAGGTGGTGCTGTCGTTAATGTATTAATTAATCATGCTCCTCTCTGTGATATTTATTTGTTTACCATTACCAACGTATTGTCTGTTTTTAGTAACACACCGGAATTTGCAATCTGGCCTCTCAAGGCGTCTCTTGTAGAAACCGGTAATTTGTCATCAGAGGAGAGNTAAAACAGACTTAAGAGGGCTAACACATATAAACCTTAATTTGTCGACAGGTGGTGCTGTCGTTAATGTATTAATTAATCATGTTCCTCTCTGTGATATTTATTTGTTTACCATTACCACCGTATTGTCTGTTTTTAGTAACACACCGGAATTTGCAATCTGGCCTCTCAAGGCGTCTCTTGTAGACACCGGTAATTTGTCATCAGAGGAGAGGGTGACATATATTTGCAGATATTTGCCCATAACTGTAATGATGTTAAATTTCATTAGCAAATGTAATTGTAACCGCTGTCTGAAATAAACACTGTGTTTTTTTGCCACACGCAAAGGTCACCCCAAGACCCCGTAACTCGAAAGCATCGCACATTGCCACCGAGCGCAATTAAGCGTCTCGATTTCATAACTCGCCCATACTCGCCCTATATAATAGCCTCGAAATTTAAGGTGGTATCGCTATATTTGCAATTCCCAATATTGTTTAGTTACGGAGCCCTGGTTATTTTTCGTGACACTTTGATTATGCATTCAGGTTCTACAAGGTCTCGTCTTTGTAGGCCGGGTATTTAAGCGGCTGGGCATATTTTGTCATCAGTGGCGATGGTAACTTACTTCAAAATATGTCTCCATAACTGTGATAATGTGTCAATTCATCCGCAAATGTGATTGTTACAACAATCTAAATAAGCATTGTGTTTTTGGCACACGCAAAGGTAACTCCAGGCACGGACAGGCAGCAGAATGAAGTTTTTTTTTTCCTTTGTGCCATTTCCTAAGCAATAAAAGTCTGTAGGATGAATGCAAACGTGGGTTCGATTATGTGCAAGACTCATAGCGAGGCGCACAGTATAGAAATGTGTCCAATAGATCACTTACATGGGTGGTAAATATTTTATGGGTGGACGGGAACCCATCGCTCGACACTTGTACTCTATCAAATGATGCTATGCAACTAATTATTACAATGTATATCAGGAAACTGGCAAAGCACTTGGTCAAATCTTGGTAAACATTAGAAAACTCCTTATTGTAGCTCTGTAAGAATTTATCAAACACTTAGCGTTCCACTAAAACCCTCATTTTTAATTAGCTTTTTTAGTATTACTGTATCATTTTTCAACTCAATGTTCATTAAGACACCTAAAAGCTTTAACTTAATGAAATTTGGTGACTTGATTTTTTTCTAAAGTCAGCTAGTTACTGCTTCTGTTTTACATGTAGCATTCTTTAACATCAAACCAAGACAAATGATTCTTGAACTTTATTTCTTAATCAGATTAATTAACAATACTACTTTATCTCTTTAAATAATTTATACAGTGTATCTTTAAACCCCCTTCAAGTTCCTCACTCTAACGGTCTATGAGGAAAAAGCAAAAAATCGGAAAACTGCGGACGAGATAACAATATCCCTAAATGTCATCACAAATTTATTCTGCCCGACTGAAAAACAACCATGTGCTAGGTATTTGAGTTTATTTGTCTCATATCATGTCAGCAGTCTGGCGCTATCAGACAGTCTTAGACCCGTCAATTGCTGCTGCACATGCGTGGACGTGTAGTCCGTCGCCTGTGATATACGTACATTTGTTACCTATTGCTTGCACATAACATGACAGTGAATTAAACTGCGTAGTCCAAATTGTATTTTTCATTCATTGCTGTTGTGCTGCACTGTGATAAAGGTAGTGCAACTTCCAGTTGTTAAAGCCAGTGCCGAGTGCCTTTAATGATCGAAACTTCTTTGTTAGACAAACGAGCACAATGTCTGTAATATTATGTCATTATTGAGTAGAAAACAGCTTTAAAACAAAAACGAAAAGACAAATGCTCCGTATTGATCAAGAAAAATGCTTGTTACTTATTGTTTGCACATTACATGCGTGACAGTGCAATAACACTGTGGTTCAAATTATCTTTTTAATCCATTGTTGTTGTGCTGCAGTGTTAAAGTAGGTAAACCATGTAAATGCACAATCCCCATAAAAAAATTCAGTTACCTTCAATGTGACTTTCTGATAAACAAAGGAGCAGAATGTCTGTATTATATCATTCTTGAGTAGATAACAGCCTTTAAACATAAAAGAAAAGGAGAAATGCTTCGTGTGGATTAAGAAAAAAATGATGCTTTGTTATATTTCTGTCAAACAAATATTGACGAATTGTGTTTTCTTTCTTTTCTGTATCTGCAAAGAACCTCTCCATACGTAGTCATTTCGTAACTTTCTTTGGTAACGGTATCCCATGAGATGACGTTTCCTCCAAGATTTTCGCCACAATTTGCCATTGCTGTG